GTGTTCGTGTGCAGCGTGTACTTACATGGTTCTCTCTACATGGTGGATTACAGATGGGTTTTATTCTCTAATATGGTATTTATTATATATTGATTTATTTTAATTTCCTAAAATGTATCACTTTTGTAATGAGAAAATGTTTTGAAACTTGAAAAAGTTTCAAGAATGAATGTATCATGGTTGTAGTTAGGTAAAGGGTTTTTTTTTTTTTTAAATAAACAACCTTTTGATGATAGTCCACTAGCATCAAGCTCCCTTCATCCTCTCTGACCTTTGGGCTGAGGCAGACAGGTGGAATTACGGAGGACAAGGACCTTGCACTCTAAGCCTCAGGCTTGTTTCCACTCTGGTCTCTGAATACACAGAGCGAGACCACCACGTGTCATCTGCCATCACTGTTACTGTTGCATGGAGTTTCTTCATAGCTTGGACTCTTCTGGCTTCTTAGTGAGCTGTGTGAAGTGAAGGAACTGATGGTTTACACTGGCAGATGGTTCTTTGGGAAATTGTTCAGGATGTCATCCACCATAGCACATGAAGCCCCCTTCAAAAACACCCGCAGAAGAAGAGAAGTTGCTCTCTGACCATTGCTCTCCAACCATAGACTTAGGGAAAGCTGAGCCTGTCCAGCTTGTGCAGAACAGGTATATATATTCCTATCTAATGAACCTTATACATCCTTGCTAAGACTGCCAGGAAGCATAGAGTTAGATTTGTCCCTCAGCTTCGGTACATGCGTGTGATTTTCTAATACCCGTCTTTGTGTATTAACCTGGTGCCTGTTTTGCTCATTGCTACTCCTTACCTTCACTTTCCTTCATCCCAATCTCTCCTTCCCTCTCTCACTGCCTGCTTGTCTGTTTTTTCCTGTTTCCCTCTCTCCCCTCTTCTCCTTCTCTTCCTTCTCTCTCTCATCGCTCTCATAACCCACCCCCCATGTCTCTGTACTCTGTCTCCCTTCCTGTCTCCTTCCCTCCTTCTTCCCTTTTATATCCCTGTCCCCCATCTCTCTCCTTCTCTCTCTTTCTCCCACACACACTTCTTTCTCGTTTGCGTTGCCTTTTTATGGTACCTATTTTTATAACACCTCCTCATGTCATTTATAAGAAGAGGCAAAGGTATCCATCAGTAGGGGTTAAATGAGACCATAGCAGAGTCCACCATTCACCCATCAGTTTTGGAGGAGAGTGTTCCAAAACAGATTCCAAGTTTTCTCTGTCTTTGAGTGTATTTCTACTGACCTAATACTTTACCACGAAGAACCTCAGCGGATTTAAGGCTTTAGAGTCACACAGGAGTTTGAAGAGCTGGAAGATAATCAACTCCAAAAAGGACCCTGGCCCTTCTACTTTTCCAAGAGCCCATTTATCCTTTGCTTCTGTGTAACACAAGCCTGCATCCCCCACCTGCAGGGGGCCAGATGTGGCGGCTCGCACCTATAATCTCAGCACTTTGGGAGGCCGAGGCAGGCGGATCACCTGAGCCCAGGAGTTCGAGACCAGCCTGGGCAATGTTACTCCATCTCTACTAAGATACAAAAATTAGCTGGGTGCAGTGGCATGTCCCTGTTAATCCCAGCTACGCCGGAGGCTGAGGTGGGAGGATGGCTTGAGCCTAGGAGGTCAAGGCTGCAGTGAGCCATGAATGCGCCACTGCACTCCAACCTGGATGACAAAGTGAGATCCTGTCTCAAAAATAAATAAATAAATCACCTGCAGGGCAAACGTTACAGTATAGCAATTCTATTTCAATAGGCCTGACTTTAGAAAATCACCCGGCAAGCTTGTCCCACAGATTTCCGGGCCCCACCCCAGAGATCCTGATTCAGAAGGTATGGGCTGGGTAGGGCTGGCAGACAGACTCAGGGGAATGTGAAGCTGTCTGTCTGTAGATCACACTTGGAGGAACCCAGCTCAAAGCCCTGACAAGGGATTTCCTCTAGCCGCTTGGAGGTGGTGGTTTAAACGGCCTTTTGTGGACCCTGTCAAAAGCCTTTTTGAACATGTACATCAAATGAGATCCACTAGCCCAGCAGTCCCCAACATTTGTGGCACCAGGGACCAGTTGCATGGAACACGATTTTTCCACAGACTTGGGAGGGGTGCTGGTTTCAGGATGATTCCAGCATGTTACATTGATTGTGTACTTTATTTCTATTATTATTACATTATGATATTTAATGAAATAATTATACAACTCACCATAATGTAGAATCAGGAGGAGCCCTGGGCTTGTTTCTCTGCAACTAGACAGTCCCATTTGGGGGTGATGGGAGACAGTGACAGATCATCAGGTATTAGATTCTCATAAGGAGCACACAGCCTAGATCCCTCACATGCACAGTTCACAATAGGTTTCCCGCTCCTATGAGGATCTAATGCCCCTGCTAAACTGACAGGAGGCGGAGCTCAGGTGGTAATGTGAGCAATGGGAAGTGGCTGTAAGTACAGATGAAGCTTTGCTGCCTTGCCGGCTTGCATCAGGCCTCCAGGGTCTAGCCCCTTCATCTCTCTGTGTTTGCTCCTTGACACATTCAGTGAGCACAGAGAAGCCAGTTATGCAAACTACAGCAGACCCTTCCTGTCTCAATTCAACATCCAGCATCTACTGTTAGCCAGTGACTGGGCCCATTCATCAACCACTCAGGCCAAGCACATGCAGGTGACTGTAACCAGTCCAGGCAACTGGACCCAGCAGTCCTGCAGACTCCTGCTCAGAGGAGAGTCCGGCAGCCCCCAGCTGATATCTCCACCTGGCTTTGGGCTTCTCTGCTTGTCCTCAGGTGTGAAAGACAATAACTGTCATTAAGGGATAAAGGGGACACTTGGTCTTTTAGTTACACCTCACTGAATGTATGGGGGGATTACATACTGTAGTGGTTTTACCACATGTGGATATTCATTCATATCTTGGGATTGTCAGTGTTGACAACAGGAGAGCTAACAGCTGAGTGTCATACCAGACAATCTCTTGAGTACAGAACTTAACAAGCATTACCTCATTCAACCGCAGAGGCACCAAGGAGGCAGGGGGACCCGCTGTCTTGTAACTACAGAGGCAGGCTAGGAGAGGCCAGCTGCTTCAGGTGGCAGAGGCAGGATTCAAACCCGTGTCTCTGACTCCAAAGCCCATGCTTTTAACCACTACACAATGTGTCTCCTTCAATGTCAAGGATTCTATTGTATTTTTAGCCTCTGCTTTTCCCCCCTGGAATTATGGGATTTCTAAAATGATGACACTTCTAGAAGCAGCTGATGAATAGAAAGATAGCAACAGGAGTTTAATATTTAGAGATGGCCTAAAATCTCCCAAGATATGTTTTTTTCTGTAAAAAAAAAGACAGCAAGAGCTCCAGGAACATGGATTTTTTTCCTCAAAAAAAAACTAAGTGGGAAAGACCCACTCCTGAAATACCCAAAATACAAGCATAAGAGGACCTGTTGAAAGGAGCGATGGAGACTGTATCGGTGGAGCTGTCCTGAAATAGCGACATACCATGCCTCAAATTTACTTTGGACAAAATGGGAGTGGAATAAAATAAGCCCAAAGTGCTGCCTGGTCAGCAGGTCTGTTGTGCATGATGGTGCTCCTGAATTGGCTGGCTATTTTTATTCCTGTCTGAAAGCCAAGGATGGAAAACCCTGAAAGGTTTGGCGACCACCCCAAGCTCGTGAGAGTCGTGGTACTAGGGCTCTGAGTAGGACCATCTCAGGCCCTACTCTGCTCTTTTTTCTCTCTCCCCATTATGGGAAAGAGAAAAGAATTTCCCAACACTGACTGTGCTGCTCTCACATGGGTTTCTTGCTTTAAGTAATCTTTTTTAAAATTATTTAATTTTTTTAAGTTCCAAGGTACATGTGCAGGATGTGCAGGTTCGTCACATAGGTAAATGTGTGCCATGGTGGTTTGCTGCACATAACAATCCATCACCTAAGTATTAAGCCCAGCATGCATTAGCTCTTTCCCCTAATGTTCTCCCCACTCGCTCCCCACCCAAAAGGCCCCAGTGAGTGTTATTGTTCCCCTCCCTGTGTCCATGTGTTCTCTTTGTTCAGCTCCCACTTATAAGTGAGAACATGCAGTGTTTGGTTTTCTCCTCCTGCTTTAGTTTGCTGAGGATAATGGCTTCCTGTTTCATCCATGTCCCTGCAAAGGACATGATCTCATTCCTTTTTATGGCTGCATGGTATTCCATGGTGTATATGTATCACATTTTCTTTATTCAGTCTATCATTGACGGGCATTTGGGTTGGTTCCATGTCTTTACTATTGTGAATAGGCCTGCCATGAACATACGCATGCGTGTATATTTATAATAGAATGATTTATATTCCTTTGGGTATATACCTAGTAATGGGGCTTTAAGTAATCTTTATAGCCTTATCACTCCTAATCTTACCAAGAGAAGCCCTGCTACCATCTTCGTGCGTGTCCTTCCCAGACTCCTTCATGTCTAATTTCTATTTGTGTTGTTCTGTTTTGCTTTTAAGGAGGATCATCATACTATACAGACCTTACTGGAAACCCATGTACTTCACTGACTGTATATCATAAGCACTTTTGTATCATTAACTCTTCCGCTTCTGCATCAATTTAATGGTTACAGAATATTCTTTTGTACAAAAAAATTCTCTTGCTTTCAAAACAGATTCTTATGAAAGCTATCTAAAAAAAAATCACTGTCACTTTGCAAAAGTGAAATTAGGTGGCTCTTGGGTTGAAGTAGTACAATTGCTCTGTTATCTTTGAATTACCTTAGTTTGGGGGGAAAATTGTTTTGCTGTCTACAAAAATGAAAAGCTGGAAAGCGTGCTATACAGGAACTCTAGGCCTGTCCTAGGCTTTAGGAAGTAAGTGAGAGCCGAAGAGGGGGTGCCCCAGGTGACAACCCAAAGTCCCAGCCATCGGGGGCTCCACCTTCTTGACTGGTAGGGTGGGAGGCGTGGGGTGTGCATGTCAGCTGTTCCTGGATCTGAGCCCCGCATCTTTCCTCTCCCCAGCAGACCCGCCCGTGGCTGCAGCAGTGGTGTCCCATTTTAATGACTGCCCAGATTCCCACACTCAGTTCTGCTTCCATGGAACCTGCAGGTTTTTGGTGCAGGAGGACAAGCCAGCATGTGTGTAAGTATCCCCTGTTCTCCTGGAGTTCTGGGGCGGGTTCAGTCTGACATCCAATTAGAAGAGCATTTACCTCCACAAGACTTGCCAGAGGCCCAGAGACCCTTGGAACCAGATATGTCAGAGGATTGGAACAGTGAACTGAGGGACACCTTTTTCAAAACCAGCTGGGTAAAAATCCAGGTTCCAGGGCACCCAGCCCACAGCCACTGAGGTAGAACCCCCGGAAGTTCAAGCCTGGGGCTCTGCATTTTTAACAAGAATCTCAGGTCACTCATGGGTCCAGTAAAGTCTGAAAATTCTTGGATTCAAATTTAATTCATAACTTAGAATTTCTGGAGCACAAGACACTGGGATGGATACCTTTGAGTGGCCAAAGTCTCTAAGATGTGGTCTCTGCCCTCCAGCATCTTCACAGTCCAGGTCATAAAACAAGCCAGAAGCACAGGTGAAGGGCTAGTATACATAAATGGTAACAGAACCAGGAGCAATTTAGAAATAAAGATGCAGGACATGCATGGTGGTCTCCACACCTGGCTGATCATCATCCTCCTTGGGGGGCTTCTCGAAGTATTACTGAACCCTGCTCTGACCTATGGAATCAGAATCTCAAGGAGTGGGAGCTGGGAATCACATTAGTTCAGAGCCACGGTGATTGCCACAGTCAGCCAGGTTGGGGAAGAAAGTCACCTGCTCCCCAGAGCAGGTGTTACGGTTAGACCAGCTGGAGAGAGTAGAGAGGTTGTTCCAGGCCTCACGTGCTCGGGGGACCTGCTACTGCAGGTCAGCGTGGCTACACCAGGGAGACAGAGAGGAGACCAGCTTAGAGACAAATTGGAGGCCAGAGCCTGTTGAAAGCTGTCTTTATTCTTTAGGCAATGGAAGCCATGTGAGTTTCAGAAAGACATATTTAAAGACAATCAGTCTGTCTATAATAGAATACTATTGGGGGACCTATATTGAACCTTGGCACTATGACATTTGGAGCTGGGTAGTTCTGTTGAGGAAACTGACCACCTGTATACTGAAGGGTGTCAGCAGTATCCCTGGCCTCTATCTACTAGATGCCAGTAGCACCACTATCCCTGGCTGTGCCAATCAAAAATATCTCCAGACATTGTCAAATGTCCTCTGCAGGGCAAAACTGACCCCAAGTTAAGAGTCACGGATCCATATGAAATTGCCGTTTTTGTAGGTCAAATATGGTTGAGGATCAGCAATTTCATACTCATCGTTAATAAAAACTGGCACCTATTAAGGTTTTGGCTTCATGTCAAGTACTGTTTGAAGTACAATCCATGTGCTAACTCATTTAATCATCCTGACCCCATGAAGAAGAAAGAGAGGCTATACCCAGCTCACATAGCAGGGCCTGGACTCGAACCAGCCTCTGGCTCCTGAAGCCGAGTTCTTAGCTATGATGCTTAAGGCCATCAGATGCATCAGCCCAGGAGCCTGGGGACCAGGAGAGCCTGCTGCAGTAGGCGGTGTGGGCAGGGCTTTCCTCTGCCTGAGGTGCAGCTGTGTGAGCCTGAGCAGGCCCCTCAGGGTGCCTCTGAGCCTCACCTGGAGAGGAAGAAGGAGAGGCACACTGGCCACCCTCCTCCTCGGAACACCGCAGGGCTAAGAAACTCCTCCAGATGACAGGCCTCCGCACCCTGTTAAAACAAAGCACGATGATGATGATAGACACTGTCATTATTCATGATTATCATTCTTATTAATAATTAACATACTAGGGGCCCCTGGGGGACTGATGGGGCTGTTTTCATTGGTGCCCTGGTCATTGTGGAAAAACACTGGCCCTGAAGGAAGTTTGCCCTGGTGACCCAGATACCAGAAAGCTTCCCTGTACAACAGGCAGAAGGTACTCTCCCACCAGCCACGTCCAGGGCTCGGCCCAGAATCAAGCACACAGGCCTCTTGTGCACTGGGCTATGAGTTTAGAGAGTCCTCTTTGGAGAAAAAGGCAGGTCTTTACCAAGTTCTGACCCAAAGTGAGTCAGAAGCTCAGTTTTTCTCCTCAGGTGCCCTCCCCACCAGATCAGGGCTGGTGTAAACTTTCCAAGAGCTGGCAGCCAGGCAAGTCAAGCCACAGCCACCTGTGTGGCAGAGAAGTCCCCTCTTCAGCTGTTGGAAGCCTCCTGAACGCTGGGGTGGGTGACTGCTCTCCCACTCCCCTCAGTCCCAAGCCCTGCTCTTGGCCCAAGGGAAATATAACTGTCCATCACATTCACACACCCTTACACTTTGCTAATCAGGGTGATCGGCCATCTCTCCACATTCACATCATACACATTACTATTAGTAATAATAGTAAGTGCTCAATAAAAGCTTAGTTGGTGGCAGGCATGGTACCCAGCACTCTGCCTACCGTAACCATGGATCCCTCACAACTCCCCTCTCAAGCAGGGATTATTACCCTTGTTGTATAAGTGAGAAAACTGGGGTTCAGAGAAGTTGAGCAACTTGCCCAGAGTCCCAGAGCTAGTAACTGGCAGAGGTGGGGTTCAGTCCCATCATTCCAGCGCCAGAACCCATACTCCCAGCTGCTGCCCAGAGGGTGCTGTGCCTCCGCTTGGCAAAATTCACCTCAAACCACTCAGCTCTTTTGTTTCCAGGCATCTTCCTCCTGCAAATTAACCCTCCTCCTAAGAAAGGTCAGGGTCATCCCCAAGCTCAGTCCCCTGATCACAGACTCTTAACAGGTTTTTCCTATGGGCCAAGTGCAAGGCTACAGAGACAGCTGAGACATACTCGCATTTGGAAAAGCTGACCATCTTGGGGGAGCCACAGCCGTGCAAGCAATTACACCTCTTTGCCTCATTTTCCCCTCTGGATCTTGATGGCCCAGGGATGGTATTCAGTCTACAGAAATGCTTTATATGGCAACAGATAATGAGCCACACTGTTCTTAGATGACTTTAATCAGTTGTCAGCATTTTAGAAGTCAGATTTCACATTTCCATGCAGACGTCCGGGTCCTCTTGAATAAGCAGAATGGCCACACCGGGCCTGAACTTCCAAACTCAGCCCCTTAGCTGGGACTCACTCAGGTGTGCCGCCCCAGATAGGGCTCGCCCTCTCCAGCCCTTCATTCCCCACCTCTCCCCAAAATTCCCGACAGCAACATGGAACATTGGTCCCTGATCCCCTATTGCCCTGCTGCTCTGCTTACACCAGCCCACTTGGCTCACTTTGCCATCCACGGGACCCCTTGGAACTTGCATGTGTTCAGCCCTGGGACAGGGTCCTCTGCAGGCCCCTTTGCAGCACTCCTTACCCCCCTGATGGCTTGTGAGCTCTGGGAAGACAGAACCATACCTTATCCCTTTTTGTATTTATAGTACCCAAAAGAATGTTCTAATTAATGAATTCCCTCTAGACCAGAAACACTTGAGTGCATGTAGAGAAAGCAGAACATTCTGTCCCTGCTCCTGTGACTTGCCCAGCCTTGGGAAGCTGACACACACATCCTGGTCAATAAACCTGCAAACCCTGAGGTCAGGCCCCATCTGTCATGGCCTCATCAAGCAAACCCACAGGGAGCCAGGATTCTAGTCTCCAGAGGGAGCCCTTTCTAATAAACTCCGTCTTCCATAAGAACAACAGTCTTTAGGTTTCCAGAGAACCTAAAATGGCATCTCACACTATAAAATGAGGGAAAGAAAAAAAGTTTAAACAAATAACTAGTCACAGACTGCCAAAGGTGGTGAAAACTAGCCTTAGATATTTATGCTTCAGGTGAACCCTCGATGGTATTTTACAGCTCCCTTTAATAAATCCCCTAGCTCCCAACCACAGCAGAAAACTAATGGGAAGAGAATTTGCAAAGACAGTAAAGCTATAGAAATACAAGGTTAGGACTCTCATCACTTTTTCCCCCGAGGCAGATTCCTCACACCATTGGTCTGCTGCCTGCAGAAGCCTTCAAACAAAGGAAAGCCGTTGAAGGAAGCCACCCAGGTGACAAGTTTACCCCTGGCAACCAGTTTGAAGTTTCTCACCTGTCCCAAATGCTCCTTGGTGACCCAACTCCCTGACAAGTTTCCCACAGCAAAGTATGAAAGCAAATTCCTGTCAGCCAAGGGAAACACTCCACCTGGCCCTGGCCACAGAACATTCCAGTGGAATCTGAACAGAGTCAAACACCCAAAGAGACCTGACTGCCATCAGTTCATAGCCAGCTGCCTGTGTAACCAAGGTGGCGCCTCCCCAGAGATTAGGATTGGGGCAGTTTTCTTGTTGCTACTCGAGCCCCCTTACATAGATCTATCAGCAGGTGGTGGGGGTAGGGTTAAGAAGGATGACATCACTCCCATCCACAGGTCTGGAGAAAGTGCAGGTCCTCCCAGAGTGGGGGTCACACACCAGGCAGGAGGACACCGCAGTTAAAGGCATGGACTGGAGGTCAGGTAGACAGAGGTAAAGTCCAGCTGAGTCTCCCATACAAATGACTTGGCCCCTTTAAGCCTCTGTTTCTTTGTGTACAAAATGAGGATACTAATACTTCATAGGATTGTAATGGGGACCCAGTGATGATAATGTATATAGAGCAATTGCTGCCTATGACAAGAGCCACTGGACTCATAAGTAATGGGACTACTTAAATTAATTGATTAAAATTTAGTTTCTCAGTCTCACTAGCCACATTTTAAGGATGTAATACCTCAGGGTAGCTAGTGGCTATTGTATTCATCTGCCCAGCTACAGACTCTGTCATGATCATGGAAAGTTCTATTAGACAGCACCGGAGAACATTCAAGCCCAGTTCCCAGCACAGCATATGAGCTCAAGTGTTTGCTATTGTGGCCGCTGTTGGCATCATCACCGCAGCCAAGGGATGTTGTGAGGTCCTGCTGGAAGGAGTATGTAAGTAGGGCTGACCATACTCCAGCCCTTTCCTACCCAGCCCCCAGAGCACAGAGGTTGTAGGACTTTGTGAATCTGGTTCTTAAAAGGCTGAGAATGCGTGAGTCCAATACACGTGCCCTTGGTCCTAGTGCACCCACTGCCTCATAGCCCTGTGGAATGTGCAGCCAGGTGGGAACCAGTGCCTACCTGAGGCCAAGGAGAGAACAGCAGTTGGGTCAAGTGTGATGATTCATTTGCAGCCAGGTGAGGTGACTCTTCCCACTCCTTCTGTGACTTGTGCCTAAACTAATCAGCATAATTAAGTCTAATATTAGTAGAAGCTTGGGAAGTTTTTTTTTTTTAAGTATGTCACTAAACCTTTTTCCTTTTCCGTCATAAAGAGCAACTGAGAAGTACTCCCAATATTACAACTAGGAAGAGAAAGGATCGCCCTCCCCTGCCCACTAGAATCAGCTGGGAGCTTTAAAAATCTTGATGCTCAGGACTGACTCCTAGAGATTCTGATTTAATTGATCTAAAGGTGTGGCCTGGACATCAGGATTTTTGAAAGCTCTGCAGGCAATTTCAATGGGCAGCCAAGGTTGAGAAACATTGGTTTCACTATTAAAAACTTCATGGTGGCTCTCAACTCTGGCTGTGTCAGAATTACCTTTTGGCCCTTTCTTTAAAATGCCCTGGCCCCACTTGCAGAGAGATTTTGATCTGGGAGGTCCCAGCTGTAGGTGAGACCCACTGGGCTGCTTGGGGCTATGACACTGCGTTCTTGGAGCTCTTCTAGGTCAGGACCTGGAGTCCCAATGATGAGGCAGTTCCCCAGGTGCCTCCCGTGCCTCCCACCTTGGGGAAGTGTTCGCTCAGAAGCATGTTGGGCTCCCTCACTCTGTGGGACTGGGAGTTGAGTGTTTGCAGCTATTACACTAGAGTGATAGGCACTCTTGTTGGCATGAAGACTTTCCTAAGGGGCTGGGCCTCCTGCTGGGGTGGTTTTAAAACAGAGCTGATTTGCAGGGGCCAGCATGCATGAATGGCAAATGTTCCTCTGGGAGAAAAAGCATGGAAAGTCAGCAAGGTGTGTCCCAGCCCAGGGAGTTGTCTCCCTTGGTGTGTTAAGATGGCACTGTCTGGGGGCACATTTGCACCTTGCCACACTGACAGCGAGGAGACCTCGCTACAGGACAATCAGTAGCCCATCTCTTGTGTCTGATCAGGTTTGTGTTTGTCACTAAATCACTAGCCCGGGGGATCTTCCAATCCAATTTGCATTAACCCAGAAAGGTAGCCTTATTGGGTGAGACTGTTAGTTCCCAAACCTCTAGAAGCTTTTGCTTCTTCATCTGTCAAACAAAGTAAGTAATAGCTGCAACCTCACAGGTCAGTTGCGATTGTTGGGATTAAAAGAGATGATTCATGTAGGAGTTTAGCCTACTGCTTGCAGTAAATGTTACATGTTGTAATTAGCAGTTGGCTGCCACTATTTTATTTAAATGAAATTTACTGGGGTCTCCAGTATTGATGTGTTAAGTCATAGCATTTTTAGAGCTGAATAATAGGCGAGGTGCTAGAATCCCTCTTTCCCAGGGCCTGCTGGTTAGAGTAGAAACATTTCAAGTTGTGTGAAATTGTCATGGGTTGTTCACCTTCCTATACCCTGAGACTTTCACAAAAGACTCTGCAAATCCTCATTATGGTACCCTTCGCCAGGAGAAAGAAGCACTAACCCTAACCCTAACCTTTTGCAGAGAAGTCTCACTGGCTTGTCTACAACTCCTGGTTACAAATCTGATAATCCACTCCAAAGCCCAGGCTCCCCGGCCCCATTCCCTTCAGTGGTTCACCAGAGGTTTCTGTAGAGCTAAGCCTGGCCCTGCCCTGCAAGAGCAAGAAGGCTGGGGCCAGAAGTGAAGCTGGTTGGAGAAGAGCAGTCAGAAAGGTGGGCATAGTCCTGGGGGGTTCAAGGAGGAGAGGTTAGGGAGATCAAAGTGAGCTGTGGAAGAATGGATGGATGGGTGACAAAAAGGAATGTGAATGAGTCTGTAAATTACATTCTTCTGGAGAATGTGATCCTTGGAATGGAGCCTGAGGAGGAGGATGAGGAATGATAGAATGATATTGCAGGTGGAGAAGGTAGCCAGAGTTGAGATTCACAGCGGAGGGTAGTTGTTCATTCATTCTGCAGGTGTGTCCTGAGTCCCCACATGCTGGGAACTGTGCTAGGTGCAGTGCGTGGATTGGCAACAACTTGGATTGGCTGGAACCTAGGTGGGTGGGAGATAAAGTAGAGGCGTGGATTAGGGCCCTGTGGGAGAGAGGGCTAGCTATCACAGAGGAAGCGCACAACTCAGGGACCTCATCTGGAAGGTCGGAGAGCCATCTGGGTGCAGCGTGAAAACTTGAGGAGCTAGAGGGAGGGACCCTTTGCAGGATTTTCTTGAGATATGGACGGCTTAGATTTATGCACTGCCTAAGACTGTTGCTTATCACCTCTCAGCCTAGAGTCTAATCCACTCTCCGCCTCCACCTCATAGGAAAGGGCTGGTGCCTGCGGGGAGAGCTGTTTCTTGACCTTTGCCTTTATGTAATTTTGTTATTAAAATCAAAGCAAGCAAACAAACAATAAAACCCTGTCCCTGTCCCATAGCCCCCTGAGCCATTGAAAGTCACTGTTCTTATTCAGAGTTCTGTGATCCCCTCTCAGTGTGCCTGGTCTTCAAAGGCCTTTTAATCTAAAAGTGAAGGTTAGGGGCTAATTAATCAAAAGATAAACTCTTTTAAAAAGTTTAGCTATCATTGCCATGTCTAGGGGAGAAACAAAACAAAACAAAACTTTAAATCTAGCATAGGATATGGGGCCGCTCTGCTGAAGTCCCCACCAGCAGGCAGGGCGTGGTGACTCACGCCTGTGATCCCAGCACTTTGGGAGGCCAAGGCGGGCGGATCACCTGAGGTCAAGAGCTGGAGACCAGCCTGGCCAACATGATGAAACCCCGTCGCTACTAAAAATACAAACATTAGCCAGGCGTGGTGGCATGTGCCTGTAATCCCTACTACTCAGGAGGCCAAGGCAGGAGAATCGCTTGAACTCAGGAGACGGAGGTTGCAATGAGCTGAGATCCCGCCACTGTACTCCAGGCTGGGTGACAAGAGCGAGACTCCATCTCAAAAAAAAAAGAAGTCCCCCCTGGCAAAGGAGGTGGTGATCTTACATTTCTATTGACAATAAGAATGTTACTCCATACAAAGGGACCAGTGTCTAAGCTAAGTATCTTTTATTGAGAAGAATCACATGCTTGGGGGATTAGTGGCTCAGGGTGAGGGGATGCCTGTAGAAGAAAATGACCATCCCATCCTTATGGCCAGGGCACATCCTGAAGCACTTTTGAGACCCACTCGTGCATAGCAGGGGGCTGTGATTAAAAGATTAATGCCAAAGAACCTCTGAATGGTAGGAATACCAGGAATTACATCACCTGGTGTTGGCACCACACTGTACAGGCTACACGCACATTCAAACATGACCTTGCTTATGCCTTTACTAAGCCTGGTATGGAGGTAGACCAGGTATTGATGGACAGGAGGACACCAGGGTTCACAGGAGAGTAGTGACGTCTACAGTCCTACAATGACCAGGTAGTAGTGCTGGGTAATCTGGTAGATACTTGAAGAACTAATTAAACTTGATGAAGAAGATAAAAAGGCAAACCACAGCCTATGTCTCCACTGGGTTCAGATGTTTTCTTTCTCATCACCAGAAATTCTGAAAATACACATTCGGTTTAAAAATAACCTGGATTTTTTATGAACTGCCAAAATGAAGCCTGTGTCATGAACACATTTACTGCCTTTATTCCTCCAGGATGTGGCACAGTCACAATAGTCATGGATTGCTTCAGGCGTAGCTTGCATCCTCAGATGACAAGGATGATTCGATTCCCCTTCCTTCTCCACATAAGCGGTGCTGCCTGCAGCAGGGACGCAGGAGGCATTTTGCTGACACCTTTCCCTCCAGTTGCAAAAGCTGGCAGGGCCCCTTTGGGCTTTACCTGCAGGCTCTGGGTCCCTCCAGGCAAGCCCTCCGTGGAGAGCTAGGGTAACAAGACCTTTTGTCAGGAGAGTGCACTGACGTTCCTTTCTTCCCCAGCTGCCATTCTGGGTACGTTGGTGCACGCTGTGAGCATGCGGACCTCCTGGCTGTGGTGGCCGCCAGTCAGAAGAAGCAGGCCATCACCGCCTTGGTGGTGGTCTCCATCGTGGCCCTGGCTGTCCTTATCATCACATGTGTGCTGATACAGTGAGTACTTGCTGCTCCTAAGGCCAGGTCCCCTGCCTGCCTCCCCTGCCAGGGACATCTGCAGTACATCCAGATAACAGGGCCACCTCAGCACAGCTTATTGCTGCGATGTCTGAGTGGTGTCAGCAAAGCTAAATGCTACTTTGATGACTGTTGGCATGGCATGGCAGCCAAGCTGCATGAAGGCCTCGTACATGCTGGGTGGATCCCCAGCTAGGGGGTTCATGCACCGTGGAGGCCAGTGCAGAACCAAAGGCATGCTGGTTCTTTCCACGGTTGTGTTGGAGTCTTCAGAATAGTGATGAAGTGGGCAGGTCCTCCAGAGAGGACTGGAGACAGCTCCTAGCCTCCTTCCAGCAGCAGCAAAAGTGCTTTCTCTCTACAGAAGTCATTTTGCAAATACTAAACCATGTCGAGGGCCATTGTTGCTGTTACAGGCTGATGACCATCACTCTGTACAGCTCTTCCTCTTTGTCCACGTCTCTGCCCCTCCTCATCCTCCAAAACTCAGTTACTGTGTTGTATCTTCCAGGAAGCCTCCCTGGGGCCTAGACCAGGAGAGACCTTTTCAGGTGTGTCTTGGCCCCATTTGCTTGCCCATATCTCCTGACTGGACTGCTCTGCAGCGTCAGAGACCCTGGGAATACAGTACAATATTCCTAGCATTTGGAACTATGCCAGATTTATTCCCTGGAAATATCTGAAGTCTGAATCTTAGGGGATTTGTTAGGTTTGTGCAAAAGTAACTGCGGTTTTCACTATTACTTTTTAAGACCAAAACCACAATTACTTTTGCACCAACCTAATATACCTGATTGGATATGCACAAGGAAGTCTCAGAACAGTTAAAGGCTGCCACTCAATTCAGTGTAGGTTAACTCATGGTGGAGACGATCAGTGGGTGGGCCCCTCTGGCAAGGTTGTGGTCAGTAGCTACATGTCGATGCAGGAAGCCAAACTTATACCCTCCAAGGTTGCCTAAGGTTTGGACAGATAAACAAACTGTCCCTTTGGTTTGTGGCTCTTGAGACATCTGAAACACATGCCCCTGGTTCTGGTAACAGTGGGGCACCCCTTAGAGTCCCAGCTTGTTGACAGTAGCCACAGCTTGCTCACATCCTTCTCCTGGACCAAGGCAGCACTGAGTGGTGAGGGATGGGGTCTGAGCTGGGTTGCCCTTTCTGTCCCCTCCAGGCAGTATCCATTCTGCTTCCAGAGGCCTTGGAAAAACATGTTTGCTGGGAGAAGACAAGCAGCTCTGGTTCAGACTGGGCCAGAGCCCAGGCTGGGCCACTCAGAAGGACCCTCCTCAAGGAGCAGGAGCAAGCTAGTGGGCTGCCAGCCTTACTTCTCATGGCCAGTAGCTGTGTGTGCTGCCCCATCCTTCCATTGTCCTGTTTCTGTGGCCAGGAGGGTCACAGGGACTTAGGAATAAGACTGGGGGCCCATGTGGGCCTCCCCAGAGGGACCTAAGAGCTAATTTTGGCAGATTGTCTGGAAACAGGAATGATCTAGATGCCTAGACAGCATCTTGCATTTCCAGGGAGGCAGCCAGTCCCAACTCCTGTGTCTCCTCCCAGCCTTGGTCTCCCTGCCAGAGACCAAGTTCAGAATTCATGAGCCAGAGACTAAGCTCTCACTCCTGCCAGGCTGCTGGCTTCCTGGGCTTAGGGCCCTCCTGAGTTGCAGGGTCCAAGTTGGGACCAGCTTGTCCCATGCTGGAGGGATCTAGAGGCCTTGATCCCGTTGCCCTGGGATGCTCCAGTCTGGGAAGTGACAAGGACAAGCCCACCTGGCTGGCTGACTGTGAGAAAGTAGTCATTGATGGCTCTGGAACCAAGGCCTTTAGAGCCCCCTGGCATGGGATGTGCTGTTTCCAGTCCAGACTCTGCAACTCTAGGAGGGCCTCATGCCCAGGCACACTGCTCTGGGCTCTCAGTTTTCACCTGTGACATAAGCAGGTTGGGCAGGAAGGTCTCAGAGCCTCCTCCTTAGCCCTCCTGTCCAAAGATTCAGGGGCTCCAGTAACCTGTCCAGCTTCTCACTGCAGGACAGTGCCAAGACAGGGACTGGGATGGGAATCATGAAATGCCCACTGGATACCAAGAGAGAAGCCCAGCAACAGTCTTATTTCTTCATCTCTGCCACCTGGCTCATCTTAGGAAATTTCTCCTAACTCCAGCCCTAGCCCAGGAACACATAAATTATATATGCATTAAGGTTAGAATGAGTGGAAATGAAGTTCTCCACGATATCCCAAGGGAAACGGCTGGCAGCATCTGTGGGTAACTCCTCTCTCACTCAGTGCTTTCTTTTCTCTTCTTCTTTTGGGGCTTTTTTTCTTCTTGCAAACTCTGAAAACTCTCCATTCCTGCCCACAGAGGGAGGACTCCGGGTCACAAAGGTTTACAGAGAGGGTAGATGTTCCAAAACTAGAGAAGTTTAGTCCTGAAAGCAGGATTCAAAGCCATTGAGATCCATAACTCATTCTTCTATTTTTTTTCCATGGGTCAATTCAGCCATCCAAGTTCCCTGTTCTGCTACTGGCAATACCAGATGAATAATCTCTTCCTAAACCCCCACAGCCATGCCAGCTGGAGGTGGCCACTTTATCCCAGTCCTTTGTCCCAATTCTGAGGCCATTACACTTGTGGAGTTACCCACCTGGTTCTTTATCAAGAAAGCCAGGTGGAGGACCAGTTCCCTCTGACGGCTGGGGAAGCTGGAGCCAGGTCAGCTTGCAGAAATGGAGCAAATACTTGAGGGCAGCCAACAGATGCTTCTGTTGTTGGCCAGCATCTGCCCCAAAAAACCACTGCCCTATCAAGCCCTCACCCCGCTATGGTGCGTGTCCCTCTAGAAGCCCCCATGGGGAGCTGGTTTAGAGCTGGAGCTGCCCAGCAGGGCCCTTGGGCAGATGCTGTGCCACCCTGGCCCTCCTGCCAGGCTCCTGCCCAGACTGGGTCCCCTGTGTCTTTGCAGCTGCTGCCAGGTCCGAAAACACTGTGAGTGGTGCCGGGCCCTCATCTGCCGGCACGAGAAGCCCAGCGCCCTCCTGAAGGGAAGAACCGCTTGCTGCCACTCAGAAACAGGTAACGAGCCTCTTCTCTGGTGGGAGACACTATTGGGTGGAGAAAACGACCACTTTCTCCAAGTCAGGGCAGAGGTTCCTGGAGTATGAAGCAGGAAGAGGGGAGAAAAGGAAGAGACTGTCTCATTCTACCAAGTCAGGTTTAGCTTATTCATAGGTGCCTTTTACTTAGGAGGGACCCCTTATATCCTGGCTGGTGGCTGTGGGACCTTTGACAAGTTACTCAACGTCTCAGAGCCTCGAGTTGTTTTGTTTTGTTTTGTTTTGTTTCTGTTTTTTGAGATGGAGTCTTACTCTGTCACCCAGGCTGGAGTGCAATGGTGCGATCTGGACTCACTGCAACCTCCAACTCCCAGTTTCAAGTGATTCTCCTGCCTCAGCCTCTCGAGTAGCTGGGATTACAGGCTGCCCTCCATCACGCCTAGATAATTTTTGTATTTTTAGTAGAGACAGGGTTTCGCCGGGGTCAGGCTGGTCTCGAACTCCTGACCTCAAGTGATCTGCCCACCTCAGCCTCCCAAAGGGCTGGGATTACAGGCGTGAGCCATTGTGCCCGGCTTAGCCTTGGTTTTCTTATTCTTAAAAAGATGTTGTGCAAATTGCATGAGTACTGATATAAAATACCTAGTATAGTGTATCACCCAAATTGTAGGCACTCAAGAGATGTTCATTCTCTTTCCCTTGAGCGAGTCACTTCCCCTTTTTCATCTGTAAAAGGAGGCATTTGGCCTATGGAAGGTCTCTAAGGACTTTAAAACCCTTAGATCCTATGATCTGCATTAAGTGTACCTTTTTTCCTGGACATTTTCGCCAACATCCATAAAGAAGATTGGACATCAGGATGTGGGGCCCAGCTTGCACCTCAGGAGCCTCCTCGGAGCATCAGTGGCTCTGGGCTCATGGAGGTGAAGAGTCCTTCATCCGAACAGGGAAGGAAAAGTCTCACACCGGCCAGCTTTTCGGGGATGCGGTTTTGACCAAGAGAGCCCATCGTAAAGTTCTTCTTGAGGACATAGTGGGTCAGGAGACAGTCATTAAAGCGAATCCACCCAGAAGTGTCCTTCGCTAGTAAACAGTTGGTGTTCAGAAGTTCCAGGGTCCATGGAGAGGGTAGGGAGGAAGGCTGCTGGGAGTCTGGACACACGTGCGTTCATTAGAGCTCGTGGTCATCTGGAGGGAGCTGAAGGCTCAAGAACACATGCATTTGTTCTTTATTTCAATCACCATAGTCACTGTGTGCAGTAAGTGAGCACACACAGACTGTGCAGGAGCAGCACTTGAGATTAGGAGCCATAGCTCTTGAGGATGCAAATCCATTCAGCCTTACAGTGGCCTTAGGAAGAGGATGGTTCATGAGTGATGTGGGTAAACTGAGTCTGCTGACAGCCTGCTTGGGTCCCACTGGGAGTCAGTGGGGGAGTGAGGATGAGAACTAGGGCCTCTAAAGACCCCTCTCCACATCTCCTTTCAATCACTTTGGGCTAATCCATTGAGCTAATGAAGGTAAATCTTTTTATTTTTTCTTTTAGCACCAATAGAAACGTGTTTTTAATCTTTTAAGAAAATTTGTAATAGATTCTGTAGCATTCGTCTGAACCTAACAGAGTCATTTGGGGTGGAGTAAGTTTCTCGTTAATGTCACTTCTTCTCTACCCACATTTAAGAAGTTAGCTCTAAGCCTGGGGTTGGGTCTGGCCTTTAGAGATGGCCACCTGGGCTGAAGTCCCTTTCCCTCAGATGGTGCATATCACCACCTCATGTAGCACCTGCCAGGCCTGCTGGGCCTAAAGGATGGGTGAACCAGGGGTGCTTACCTGTGAGCACCTCCAGAGGAACCATGGCAAGGACCTAGAAAGATGTCCAGACTAAGCTGAACTCAGGAACTGAGGATGGTCCATGCTGCCTCACCACAACAGATACAGAGGATACCCTCAGGGCCCAGCCATTGAAAAATAAATGGGTCAATCTTGTATGGCCTCAAGGGAAGCCTTTCTGCCACCAGAGCCCTGGACCAGGGCTACCCACCAAGTCACCCCTTACAGAAGCTGGCTGCAGGCCAGATTAAAATGATACCCTCACAACAGGGGGCATCCCCCTGCTCCCCCGCTCACTCACTCACTTTCAATCAGTCTCTCTAGCTTCCTTTGGCACTGAAAGCACAATGTCAGAGGTTGCGGTCCCCGAGACTGAACCAGCAGAATTTGGACTCGGGCCTAACTCCCCGAGAGAACTTGGTGACAATTGGCTGTACCATCTCCAAGTCTCTTTCCTAAGCTTATTTTCCCAACATGGCCAGGGTGTGGCCCACAGTACCTAACCCGTTTTTCCTTCCTGCCAGTGGTCTGACGAGTCCAGAGGAGTTTGGCCAGGTGGACTGTGGCAGATCGATAAAGAAAGGCTTCTTCAGGACAGCACTGCCAGAGATGCCTGGACGTGCCACAGACCTTCCTACTTGGCCTACAGTCACCTGTGCAGCCTTTTGTGGGCCTTCAAAACTCTGTCGAGAACTCTGTCTGCTTGGGGTTATTCAGTGTGACCTAGAGAAGAAATCGGTGGACCACGATTTCAAGACTGGTTAAAAAAGAACTGCAAAGAGACGGACTCCTGTTCACCTAGGTGAGGCGTGTGCATCAGTTGGTGTCTGAGTCCAGATGTGTGCAGTTGTCTTCTGCCAGCCATGGATTCCGGGCTACATATTTCTTTTTAATGGGCCACCTCCCCACAACGGAATTCTGCCCAACACAGGAGATTTCTGTAGTTATTGTTTTCTATCATCCGCCTACTGGGGAAGAAAGTGAAGGAGGGGAAACTGTTTGATGTCACATGAAGACGCCAGCTTTAAGAGAAGCTGTATCCTCTAACCACGAGACCCTCGACCAGCCCAACATCTTCCATGGACACATGACATTGAAGACTATCCTAAGCTATTGCCACCCTTGGAGATAATGTCTTATTTATTAGATGGATAATGGTTTCATTTTTAATCTCTTAAGTCAATGTAAAAAGCATAAAACCCCTTCAGACTTCTACATTCATGATGTATGTGTTGCTGACTGAAAAGCTGTACTGATTAGAAATGTCTGGCCTCTTCAAGACAGCTAAGGCTTGGGAAAAGTCTTCTGGGGTGTGGAGATGGAACCAGAGGCTGGGTTACTGGTAGGAACAAAGGTAGGAGTTCAGAAGTGGTGCCATTGAAGCCACAAAGCCAGTAAATGCCTCAATACATTCTGGGAGAAAACTTAGCAAATCCATCAGCAGGAATCTGTCCCCTCTGTTGAGGAGAAAGGAAGAATGTGTGTGTCTACACAGGATAAACCCAATACATACTGTACTGCTCAGTGATTAAATGGGCTCACTTCCTCGTGAGCCCTTCGTGAGTATGTTTAGAAATAGAGCATTAGCCACGAGCCATGGGCATTTCAGGCCAAATCCATGAAAGGGGGACCAGTCGTTTATTTTTCATTTTGTTGCTTGGTTGGTTTGTTGCTTTATTTTTAAAAGGAGAAGTTTAACTTTGCTATTTATTTTCGAGCACTAGAAAAACTATTCCATTATTTTTTTTTCTTCATTTCCATTCAGGATGCTGGTTTTATTAATAAAAACTCTAACAAGTCACCTCCACTATGTGGGTCTTCCTTTCCCCGCAAGAGAAGGAGCAATTGTTCCCCTGAGCACCTGGGTCCGTCTGACCCGTGGGGCCTGCCTGTGAGAAGCAGTGGGCCCCTTCAAATACAGAGTGGATAGCTCATCCCTAGGAATTTTCATTGAAATTTGGAGACAGAGTAACGAAGAAATAATATATAAACTCCTTATGTGGGGAAATGCTACTAATATTTAAAAAGTGAAAGATTTCTCCCTACTAACTCTTAAGTGCACCTAGCTTACTACATCATGAAAGGTACATTTAAAATATGTCAAATTGGCTTGAACTTTTCAGAGAATTTTGTCTTCCCCCTAATTCTTCTTCCTTGGTCTGGAAGAACGATTTCTATGAATTTTCTCTTTTTTATATATATAATTCAGACAATTCTGATCCATGTCTTCACTTTGGGCACTCTCATTTAACAATGCCACACTGGAAGCACTAAATGCAGACCTCAGATCTGTTCAGAGCTGACCTCCCAGCAACATAGTTGACACAGCTCCAGGTTTTTAAATTATTAAAATAAGTTCAAGTTTACATCCCTTGGGCCAGATATGTGAGTTGAGGCTTGACTGTAGCATCCTGCTTAGAGACCAATCAATGGACACTGGTTTTTAGACCTCTATTGATCAGTAGTTAGCATCCAAGAGACTTTGCAGAGGCATGGGAAGATGAGGCTGGACAGATGGCAGAAGCAGAGGTTCTCTGCAAAGACTTGAGATTTAGTGTCTGTGAATGCTCTGGTTCCTAGGTCCAGCAAGTCACACCTGCCAGTGCCCTCATCCTTATGCCCATAACACACACACACTGAGAGGCCTCAAATATACACCTCCCTAGAAGTGCCTTCTAAGTCAGTTCTTTGGAAACCAGCAGGTCTGAAAAAGAGGCTGCATCAAGGCAAGCCTGGTTAGACCACTGTCCATGCCTCAGGATAGAACAGCCTGGCTTATTTGCAGATTTTTCTTCTAGAAATCAAATGACTGATAAGCATTGGATCCCTCTGCCATTTAATGGCAATGGTAGTCTTTGGTTAGCTGTAAAAATACTCCATTTCAGGTTAAAAATGCACCTTCTAATCCATCTCTGCACGCTCCCTGTGTTTCCTTGCCCTTTAGAAAATGAATTGTTCACTACAATTAGAGAATCATTTAACATCCTGACCTGGTAAGCTCCCACACACCTGGCAGTGGGGAGCATCGCTGTTTCCAATGGCTCAGGAGACAATGAAAAGCCCCTATTTAAAAAAATAACAAACATTTTTTAAAAGGCCTCCAATACTCTTATGGAGCCTGGATTTTCCCACTGCTCTACAGGCTGTGACTTTGTTTAAGCATCCTGGCAGGAAATGTTTTCTTCTACATGGAAAGATAGACAGCAGCCAACCCTGATCTGGAAGACAGGGCCCCAGCTGGACACACATGGAACCCAGCCAGGGATGCACTGGCCATTGTGTCCCTGCAGGAGAGATGGGCAGAATGGCCCTAGAGTCCTTTCTCCTGAGAAAGGAGGAAAAGGTGGGATTGACACTCACCCACCCACACTGGTAAGGGAGGAGAATTTGTGCTTCTGGAGCTTCTCAAGGAATTGTGTTTTGCGAGTACAGAAAACTGTCTGTTGTCTTCAAGCCAGGTTTTCTAGGGCACATGGGTCATCAGTTGCTTTTTCAGTCAGTTTGGCCAGGATGGACTAATAAGGCTCTAACACTGCTCAGGAGACCTCTGCCCTCTAGTTGCTTCTGGGCTTTGATCTCTTCCTACCTGCCCAGTCACAGAGGGAGGAATGACTCAAATGCCCCAAACCAAGAGGACGTTGCAGAAGTAAGACAAGCATGTGTATATTTTTAAGTGTTCTAACATAAGACCTGTTCTCCCTAGCCATTGATTTACCAGGCTTTCTGAAAGGTCTAATGGTTCACACGCAGAGAGAAAGAGTACTGAAAAAGCAACTCCTCTTCCTAGTCTTAATAATTTACTAAAATGGTCAACTTTTCATGATCTTTATTATAATAAACCTGATGCTTTTTTTTTTTAGAACTCCTTACTCTGACATCTGTATATGTTGCACTGAAAAGGTTAATATTTAATGTTTTAATTTATTTTGTGTGGTAAGTTAATTTTGATTTCTGTAATGTGTTCATGTGATTAGCAGTTCTTTTCCTTAATATTTTTTTTATACTTCAAGAGTAGTGAGCAATATAAGATGCAATTGTGTTTTTCAGTAATGTGCATTGTTATTCAGTTGTACTGTATCTTATTTGGAAGGATGAAGGAATGAATTTTTTTTCCTAAGTCAAGACTGGAGTGTTTCTTTAATGAGATTAGGATACTGCTCAAGAAAATGAAGACTTTTCTCTGCAAATGTGATTGATGTGGAAAAATTAGATGATCTGTTACCAAATGTGGAAATCCTATAATTAACCATAGTTGATCCCTGTCTTCTTGAAGAATTCAAGTTCTCTGAAGCTCTTCCCAGTATATAAGTACTTAGTAGACTATGTGTCCAATAATGCTAATTGATGTGGTGGAAAATATACAATCTCTGCCACTGCAGGAATTGAAATCTGGTGGAGAAGACAGACAGATATGCTGAGAATAATTCTGGACTATTTCTAGACAATACAAATAAGCCATGAAATTATAAGGTAGAGAATATATGTTAACAGTGGTGGTTCTCAGAGCATGGTTCCAGACCTGCAGCATTGGTATAACCTGTGAACTTGTTAGGAATGCAATTCTTTGGGCTCCAGCCCAGACCTACTATACTGTGAGGGTGCTCCACACTCTTTCTGCCCTCTGGGTGATTCTAATACATACTCAAATTTTTTAAATGTTTTTTAATTTTGTAGAGAGACAGGGTCTCCCTGTGTTTTCCAGGCTGGTTTCAAACTCCTGGACTCAAGCGATCCTCCACCTTGGCCTCAGAGTTCTGGGATTATAGGCGTGGGCCACTGCGCTTGGCTGATGCTCAAATTTAAGAACTACTATGCTACAGGACTCAGTGAAAGGACAACTTAGTGTTGAGCTACAGTTTTATGGAAAAGCTTTGAAGAGGCTTTGCAGAAGAAGTGAAACACAATTTACCTCTTGGAGTTCAAATGTAATAGCCATCAGAAAGCGTAGCCTTGAATGAAGGATCTTCTCCGCTCAGCCTAGTTGAAGGAAAAAAATAGATCTGTCCATCTCCCACCATACCCCCAACCACCCCCGGGCTCACCCGCCCCTGTTCCCCACCACCCAGTCTGTAATTATAAGGAATTGTTCTAAAACAGTCAACCGGATCTTACAAACCCATAGTAAGGCCTCTGCCCTTTTTTTTTTTTTTTTTTTTGAGATGGTATCTTGTTCCATCACCCGGGCAGGAGTGCAGTGGTGCAATCTCGGCTTGCTACAACCTCCGCCTCCCGGGTTCAGGAAATTCTCCTGCCTCAGCCTCCGGAGTAACTGGAACTACAAGTGTGTGCCACCACACCCAGCTAATTTTTGTATTTTTAGTAGAGACGGCGTTTCACCATGTTGCCCAGGATGGTCTCAATCTCTTGACCTTGTGATCTGCCTGCCTCACCCTCCCAAAGTGCTGGGATTACAGGCGTGAGCCACCGCGCCCGGCCGGGCCTCTGTACTTCTAACCCATGGGTGGGATTCACATGTGCAACATAAGAAGCGCTCACGGAAAAGTGGAGAGTGAAATCGTTGCTGCATAGTATAAAATCCTGGGCCCCAAAGAAGGTTCTGCTCTTTGTAGAGAGGGACGAGCATGTGGAGCTTGCTCTCCAGACCCCAGAGGTCTTAGGATCAGCCAAACTTGCAGAAAGATGGAAACTCAAGCAATTCTTCCTCCCAAGCTCCCTGGCCTGGCATCTGGCCCTCAATAAACTCTTTCCCTACCTCTTGAAAGAGAGTGGGGAGACTTCCTACCCAAACCTGGTCTTCCTCCTCATGACCCCATTTAGTCTTCAGAGACATCTCCAGGCCTTCTTCCTAACCAGTGGGATTTTTCACTAGTCCCCATTTTTTCTCCTCTTTCCCAATTTCTAAGCCATCTACCTGCCAAGGCTGCCTGCCTGCCAGAACCAAGGTCCGGTGACTGTCCTTTGTCCTGGTCAGGTGCACTGGACTGTCTGGGGTGAGAAGGAGCCATCCCAGGAAAAAGCACCCATCAACTTTGAATCAAGCCAGACCTTTCCTCATCCAGGTGACTTGCAGTTGACAATTTGAAAGCCATGTTCTGGATGCTTTGGGTCCAGGCTTTTTGGATCCTGTTGGCCCAAACTTCAGACCCCTATTTTTTCTGGTTGCCTTGACTGATGCCTGGCTCTGTTTGGGGACATTTGAGTATAAAACCCTTGCCTTGCTTCCTCTCTAGCTCAGAGCTTCACTACCAGCACTTTTTTCCCCTGACTCCTGAAATTCCTCTTCTACAACTGCCTTCTGCAGGACTTGCTACTTCCAGCAGGCTCTGAGGTTTCTGCCACAGCCTTTCACCTCCAGAAGTCAGGAGTGAATTGCTTGCAGTCACAGAAGCTGTGTCTAGCGATGCCTGTTTCATAGGGTGGTGTCTGTCACCCAAGATCAATAAGGAATCTGAATATATGGGAATGGACCTTAAGCATCACTTTAAAAATCTCTCCAGGTGATTCTAATCCATACCCTACTCCCCTTTCGAATACACCAGGCCCCAGGGGGCAGGTGGCATGGGAGAAGTGATGCCTGGAGCTAAGAGTACCTGGTGCTCACCCAGCACACCCATCCTCAAGGAGATTCCTTAATATCCAGCAGATGTTCACCTCTGGGGAGACAGAAGCTTGGGCCTCCTCTCAAGTGGGATCGCCTAAGGCAGAGAAGTGAGAAATCTCCTGTGGGTACTCCTGTAAGGAGTGCCTTGTGGCTGGTGCTTGAGGTCATAGGTCAGGCACAAGTGGGCAGTGGCTTTTTTTTTTTTTTTTTTCAAGTCAGGGTCTCACTCTGTCACCCAGGCTGGAGCACAGTGGCATGATCTCAGCTCACTGCAACCTCTGCCTCCTAGGTTCAAGCAAATCTCCTGCCTCAGCCTCCCGAGTAGCTGGGATTACAGGCGCCCGCCACCACGCCTGGCTAACTTTTGTATTTTTAGTAGAGATGGGGTTTCATCATGTTGGCCAGGCTGGTCTCTAACTCCTGACCTCAAGTGATCCACTCGCCTTGGCCTCCCAAGGCAGTGGCTTTTTAGGAGCCAAATTTTACACTTGGGAATAAAAGAAAGTTGGGCATTTATGCTGAAAGGGAAAGAGAGAAAGTAGGAAGGGGAGACCACTGTCCAGGACTATCTGCTCCAATGGAAGCCTCAGGCTTGTGCATCTGCACAGGTGCCTGGGACCCAGAGTCCATAAGGACTTCCATCCCAAGACTTGCAGGGGAAGCCCTGTGGGAGGTAGGTGAAGTTGAGTGCTGGGCAAGAGGACATCTCCACCAACCTGGGGCTGGGCGTTCAGCTGCTGGTCCTGTGCATTGCAGGAAGGGATTCTGGACATGTGACATCCCAGGAGAACTGGGCTGTGAGGAGCCAGCATCACTTAAACCGTGTCCTACCAGATCAGACCAAACAGCCACGCCCCTCCACTGCCGCATGACTCTCCCACCAGCCCTTGTGAAAGAAGCCTCCTAACCAGAGTGCAGAGGTCCAGAGCCCCTGTGGTGGGAGAAGGCTTGGAGGCAAAGGCTGTAGTGGGTTTCACTACAGCCTGCTTCTTGCTGACTGTGTCACCCTGGGATGTTACTGTTTCCTTCTGAGCCTCCTGTGCCTCTCTGTTTAATTTCCACTGATTTAGCCCAGGGTTGTGAAATAAATCTCAAAGCACAGCCTGATTCTTGGAATAAAAAAAATCTGGTGTGATCCTAAATGCTATCAATATATTGTCCAGCTCAAGGGAGGCCCCCCTCCCCATGTGCCCCCACTGACTTTCAAGGTAAAAGAAGCTGGGAGGTGGGAGGTGCTCATGAGAAATATTTTCATAGATCCAGTATCAAATGGGACCAAACCCAGGGGTTGATGATCTCAGGACATCACCTTTACAAGTGGTTAATGACCCAGAGGAGTGAGGACAACTGTCTTCAGACATAAGGGGGTTTGGTCTGACCTCAAGGGGCAAGTCCAGGAGACAGGTTAATTTTGTTTCAGTAGAGGCTTCTGTTTCACTGTCAGAGCTGCCTGCTGGCTCTGGCTGTCCTCCAGGCAAATGTGCTTCCTAACTCCAAAGTAATCACACAGAGGTGGGTGCCAACCAGGGCCCAGAGGGTCTCCTGGTGAACTAGAGCATGAGCCAGAAGACCTGGGGCATCTGACCATGGTCTCCTACCTATGAGTCCATGGGTTACCCCTATTTAGCTCCAAGCCTCCACCTCCCACTGCACCCTTCTGGAATAATCTCTGCAAGCCCAGACTTGAGCCTCTGTCCTCCCAGGGCTTCCCAGTGATGGAGGGGGATCTCAGGCCCTGCTCAATCCCCTTACCTCCCATCTCCTAACATCAGAGCCATCCTAAGGATGGTCCCCACACAGGGACCACATCCCCAGTGACTCTCATCAGGAGAGGGCTTTCTCTGGCGCTTTCCACTCCTTAGGTGCCTACGTGTGCCGGTCATTTGCCACTCCCAGTTCCATTCTCCCCATTTCTACCCTGTGCCCAGGAGCTGACCCCTGTGGGCTGCCTCCCTGGGGCTCTCTTGTCTTCTTGCTTCCAGTTCAGCCAGTGGGAGGCACTGGCAGGAGATCGGAGTGGAGTAGGAGGAGAGACATGGGGGTTTGTCATCCTCGCTCCCTCCCTGTTCCAATACTGCCTCCCTAGCAGCAACTGTGTCCCAAGGCTAGGCTCCCTGGGCCCCTACTCCCCAGCCCCACTCCCACCGGGCTTCGGGACACCACGTCCTCCACTTGCCCCTTCAGTACTGGAGTGGTAATGCCTTCCCACAGTTGCCAGTAGAACTCTGCCAATCTTCTCCCTCCTCTCTCTTTAGTATCCAATGATGCTTACCCAGAGGTTGAAAAGTCAAACACCTCCTGGAGTGAAGTGGGTCATCTGAATTAGTGCAGCTGCTTGATGAAAGCATGAATGACCACAAGTGAGTCTGAATCCAGGGTTGTGGTGGACACGGTGATATACTGGCAGGCACTGACCCCTGCTGAAGGGGGAAGTCACTTCTCAGTTCCAGTCTAAAGTGGATCTCCAGCAGGAGGTCAGTTTCGTTATTTTTTTTTTTTCAAGAGAAACAGAACATCTGGACCTTTTCATAAAAATATCTTCATTCCGAAGTGTGGTTCC